AAGTTGGGGACTAAACTGCTTTTTAGTACTACTTGTCACCCCCAAACTGATGGACAAACTGAAGTAGTCAATAGAACATTGTCTACTATGCTTAGGGCTGTTTTGAAGAATAATAAGAAAATGTGGGAAGAATGCTTGCCTCATATTGAATTTGCTTATAATTGTTCATTGCATTCTACTACTAAGATGTGCTCTTTTGAAATTGTGTATGGTTTCCTACCTCGTGCACCTATTGATTTTTTGCCTCTTCCATCTTCGGAGAAGGTTAATTTTGATGCTAAAGAACGTGTTGAATTGATTTAAAAATGCATGAGTTAACTAAGGAAAACATTGAGTGTATGAATGCTAAATATAAACTTGCTGGAGATAAGGGTAGAAAACATGTTGTGTTTGCACCTGGAGATCTTGTTTGGTTACATTTGCGTAAGGATAGATTTCCTAATTTGCGCAAATCAAAGATAAGGCCACGTGCTGATGGTCCTTTTAAGGTGTTAGAGAAAATAAATGATAATGCATATAAACTTGAATTGCCTGCAGATTTTGGGGTTAGTCCCACTTTTAACATTGCAGATTTGAAGCCTTATTTGGATGAGGAAGATGAGCTTCTGTCGAGGGCGACTTCATTTCAAGAAAGGGAGGAGGATGAGGACATCAATACCATTGTTACACCCACAACCCCTGCTGCTATACATACTGGACCAATTACTAGAGCTCGCGCACGCCAATTAAATTATCAGGTACTTTTGTTTCTTGGTAATGATTCTAATGTTCGTGAGAATATGATGTTGTCTAAATTGGATACATTTGTTTTGCTTATAAATGAAGGGCCTCGCATGGATAAGAGGGATGAACACTGGAGCAAGACCAAGCATGGAGGTGATGACATGCGCAAGGGGATTAAGAACGGAGTTACAAGTGATGATTTCAGGACTTTGAAGCCACCATAAGAAGTGCATGAAGCCTTGGACGAAATATAAAAGATGCCACTTTATAAATTTCATCCAGAGGCTATTCTAGGTGTTGCGTCACCTTATTATTGGGCCAGGCCCATGTATTTTCGAAATACTTAAGTATAGGCTGTTTTTAGAGTCCGTATGTGTGGGGAAACAAGAGTTAGGGTAGGTTTTGGACCCCTCCTCCAAGGGACACGAAATTCCCCCCTCTTCCTCCATATATACAGCCCTTAGGGCGTCGTTTAGACTTTGGGTTTTGTTTAGATTAAAAGTTCGCCATAGCTGCAACTTCGCGTACTTCGTTTGTGTCCAACGACCAGACCAAGACGTCACAGAACCCCACCTTCATTAATAAATCTTTCCTCTTTTATTCGCAATATCCAGATTGCAATCTCAGTTTCTTGCTTGTTCTTCGTTTGCTCGCAGGAAATAGACCCTCGTGGCCAGGTTGATCATGCTCCGCGTGGTCAATAACCCTCGGAAGTTGGTTTAGCGATTGCTAAGGCGCGACGTCTTCGCACGTTCGTAGTCGGATCGTCAAAGTCGACTCCCACAGAAAACAATATATATCTCATCAAAACATCAGGACACCTTTGTGTCTATCAAGCACAGTATATAAAATGTTTCCTTACCAATTTTCACTTACCAGAGGCGCTTCACTCCCGGGCAACGGCGCTAGAAAATAGCCTTGATGACCCACAAGTATATGGTATCAATTGTAGCTCTTTTCCATAAGTAAGAGTGTCGAACCCAACGAGGAGAAGAAGGAAACGACAAATGGTTTTCAGCAAGGTAATGTCTGCAAGTGGTGAAATTGTAAGTAACAGAGTAGTTTGATAATGAGATGTTTAGTAACGAGCAAGTAATGATAATAGTAACAAAAGTGCAGCAAGGTAGCCCAATTCTTTTGAGGCAAAGGACAGACCAAAACGGTCTTTTATGATAAGCAAGGCGTTCTTGAGGGTGCACGGGAATTTCATCTAGTCACTTTCATCATGTTGATTTGATTCTTGTTTGCTACTTTGATAATTTGATATGTGGGTGGACCGGTGCTTAGGTGTTGTTCTTACTTGAACAAACCTCCTACTTATTATTAACCCCCTTGCAAGCATCTGCAACTACGTTAAAAGTATTAAGGATAAATCCTAACCATAGCATTAAACTTTTCGGTCCAATCGGTCCCTTACGGAATAGCGCATAAACTAGGGTTTAAGCTTCTGACACTCTCGCAACCCATCATCTAATAACTAGTCCACAATGCATTCCCTTAGACCCAAATATGGTGAAGTGGCATGTAGTCGACGTTCACATGACACCACTAAGGGAATCACAACATACATACTATCAAAATATCGAACACATATCAAGTTCACATGATTACTTGCAACATGATTTCTCCCATGACCTCAGGAACAAAAGTAACTACTCACAAGTGATAAACATGCTCGATATCAGAGGGGTATTAAATAGCATAATGGATCTGAGAATATAACCTTCCACCAAATAAACCATATAGTAATCAACTATAAGATGTAATCAACACTACTAGTCACCCACAAGCACCAATCTATAGTTCCGGCACAAACATTGAACACAAGAGATGAACTAGGGTTTGAGAGGAGATAGTGTTGTTGAAGATGTTGATGGAGATTGCCCTCCCCAAGATGGGAGAGTTGTTGGCGATGATGACGGCGATGACGATGATTTCCCCCTCCGGGAGGGAAGTTCCCCTGGCAGAATCGCTCCGCCGGAGGGCAAAAGTGCTCCTGCCCAAGTTCCGCCTCGAGACAGCGGCGCTCAGTCTCGAAAGTCCTCTCCTTATTTTTTCTAGGTCAAAATGACTTACATACCAGAAGATGGGCACCAGAGGTGGGTCGAGGGGAGCATAACCCACCGCGCCTGAGCTCCCTAGCACGCCCAAGTGGGTTGTGCCCACCTGGTGGCCCCCCTCTGATACTTATTGGCTCCAATATTCCTCATATATTCCATAAAAAATCTTCGTAAAGTTTCAGCTTGTTTGGAGTTGTGCAGAATAGGTGGCCTGACGTAGCTTTTCCAGATCCAGATTTCCAGCTGTCGAAATTCTCCCTCTTTGTGTGTACCTTGCATATTATGAGAGAAAAGGTATTAGAATTACTCCAAAAAGCATTATTGTGCATAAAAACATCATAAATAATAGTAAGAAAACATGATGCAAAATGGACGTACCAGACATCCCGCCAAAGACGCTTATGGCAATGACGAAACTATGCAAAGGATTCTCGTGGTGTGGAAAAGACAAGGCCAATGGTGGAAATTGTGCGGTGGCATGGGATACCGTATGCACACCAAAGTGGGTAGGAGGACTAGGATTGCCAAACCTCGGGTGGTTAAACTGTGCTATGTAGGCAAGATGGTCATGGTTGCAGCATACGGACCCCTCGCGGCCTTGGAGTGAATTCCAAATCAAGGTGCCCAAGGAATCCATGGAACTGGTCAGGGCGGCTGCCAACACCACTGTAGGTAATGGCCGCACGGTCTTGTTCTGGGAGGATCGTTGGCTTTAGGGATACTGAGTGCAAGAGCTACCACCGGGGATATACAGGGATGTGCCGAACAAAATCAGAAAGATGAAAACCGTACAAGACACGCTAACGCATGGTTCCTGGGCGTGTGACTTTGGCCTTGAGCTGACGGAGGAGCAGCTGCTCGAGTTCTTCGATATATGGGACCGCACAACCACGGTTCAACTAGACGATGAGATCCCAGACACAATATCATGGGCGTGGGAGAAGGACGGATGTTTCTCAACAAGATCAACATATGCCGCCAAGTTTTGGGGAAAGGAAGTATCCCAACTGCAAACTTCACATGGAAATCGCGAGCCCCCTCTGATGCAAATTCTTCTCCTTGCTAGCCATCAAAAATAGATGCCGGACGTCCGATCGCCTAGCGCGAAGGGGTCTACCCCATCAGGACAAGTGCCTGTTCTGTGATCAGCACGACGAGACGATCAACCACTTACTCCTCCAGTGTGTCTTCTCGTGATAAATGTGGACGATAATAGGCACGACGATGGAGTCGCCCACGTACGCACCCACCCAACTGGACGTCCTGACAGATTGGTGCACCAGCAGGACAAGCAATCGACATTCAGACAAGGACAATAGAACGATCACCATGTTGGGTATGTGGACACTATGAAAGTATCGAAATGCAATCGTGTCGACGGTGCAACACCCTCCTTACATCGGGTCATCGGGACCAAACACTTGGAGTGTAGGAATTGGAAGCAAGCGGGTTTAATCAAGGACGACCTTGACCATTTCATAGTGGAGCTAGCTAGGTGGATTAGCACGAGAGATGAGTAGGCCAACTAGGCCGGTTGTGACCGGGCAGAGTAGTGCTTGCATGCAATTACTTGTAACACTATTTGTGAAGGGTTTCTTTCACCCATTTCTCTTCTTTAAGGTCTTCTTTGGTTCATAGGGTAGGAAAATCGTAGGAACAGAAAAGTCATAGGAAATGAGATGACATGTATCTCAAATCCTATGAGTAGGAGTAGGAAAGGAGATGCCCTTTGATTCACATCATAGGATTTTTTTTTTCATTGAGTCTAGACTGATGTTTATTTTCCTATGGAATGTGAATGATAGAAAGAATTCCTTCATAGAAATAGGATTCCATTTCTATAAACCAAAGGACTCTAAAAGATTTTTTTTTATAAAAATCCTATCCTATAAAATTTCTACAATATTCTTCTAAACCAAATGAGATCTAAGTAGATGATATGCACACTCGTGCATATTTCAGAAAAAAGATAGATCACTAAAATAGCGATCTAATAGGAGTATTTTTTTTCCCTGAATGGTAGATGCTCTAAAATTCTATTACAGGCACATTCTGCCTCAGCCCCTTTTAAAGAGGCCCTTCAATGCTACTGTAGGGCTCGTCCGCCGCCGCAACCCCTCCTTTTCCCATCGAGTTTGTTGAGGCGAAGCGAACTCGCCTAGCATTTGCAAGAAATTCCAGATCCGCAAAAAGCAGAGAGGAACAACTCCACCGGCGATGGCGATGGCGATGGCGGCCCTAAGACGCGAGGGGCGGCGTGTCCTCCTCAACACCCCCTCCCCGGCAGCCACCATGGCTGCGCTCTCCCGGGCTGCCTCCCAGTCGTAAGATCCCCATCCATTTACTCCTTCCCGATCTATCCTCCGCCTATATCAGTGGTTCTCTAAATATCCGGTCGGTCTGGCGATAGATCTGATCACGTGTTCTTCGTCAAATCAAAGTTGACCTCCGAAATGCGAGGCGCGTCTGGCCTGTGTTCTGCGAATGTATGGCGCCTTTGCGCGTCTGTTTGCTGACGGTAGTTTGGGTTAAGGATCCGTGAAAGGTTCGTTAGGGTTTGAATTTTCTTGGGAAAATGATATTGTAAATGGGATTCTGAATTTCTATCTGAGGAACGCTTACGATTTCTTGTTGGATTGTGTAATGTGATGATTCTTCTCGTGGTGTTGTGGTGTTTTTTTTTGTTGTGTCAAGGATACAAGATTTCGGACCATTTCTTTAGGTAATGGATGCGAGGAGACAAGAGTCATGATTGTTTGGGATTCACCATCATTTTATTTGATGCCGTTACTGTCCAAAGATTATGGCATTATGTTATATTGTGCTTTCTTGCTTCCAACTGTGAACCGTGCATTATGCTGATAATTTGTGTTTAACTAATTCTTGAAAATTTATGTGTTTAATCCTCGCTTGCTATGCAAAGGTATGACATAATGTTTGTTTTGTGCTCTCATGCTACCAATTGCCAATTCTACATATTCTGCTGAAAAGTTGCCGGCTTAGTGCTCCCGTGCTATGCAAAGGCTGATGGCATTATGATTGTTATTTGCTTTCACGCTGCCATTTGTAATTGTTGCATATTATGCTCCTAAGTTGTGGCCCACTAGTTTTGTAAAATATAATGCGTTGAAATTTACTGGTTTGAAGGTAATCAGGGCTTTGTTAATTTGGTTTCACTTTCTACACACAATGCCGTGCTTCCTGTGAAATTATTTGTTTGGATTACTTCAATATTCCACCATTTATTTGACAAATTCAAAGCACCGTTCAGCTGTTTGCATGATATTTATGTTAATGAGAATGTGACTATGTTGCATTTTGACCCTTCAGGCAGATTGCTCCGCTTGGTGCACGGTCGATCTCAACACAAATTGGTTAGTATTTTCATTCCAACCTGTTCTGTATTGCGTACATGGAATGGTGTCGTATTCATTGGCCTGAATTAATGATTTTCAGTGAGGAACCGCATGAAAAGTGTCAAGAACATCCAAAAGATTACGAAAGCAATGAAGATGGTTGCAGCATCAAAGCTTCGTGCTGTTCAAACAAGAACTGAGAATTCACGTGGTCTATGGCAGCCATTCACAGCTCTTCTTGGGGATGCTCCTAGTATGTCTAAGCCATCATGTCATATCTTATACAATGCTTATTTTAGCATCTGTTCTTTAATTGCCAACAGTCTTGTCCATTGTTGCTAATGGACTGGTGGCTGTTCCTGCATGTTAGGAGACTTGTTGAACTCTTGAGTAATTATTTTAGCATGTAGATGTAGAAGGTCCAAATGATGTTAGGTGTAAATTCCTAATTTTGCATCTGCATAGCGCCTATCTTGCCTATGAATTCAGCTATTAAAATACAAGTCATGTGACATTAAAATTCTACCACTGTACTCACACTCCAAAAGAGTTTTCAATTGTATAAATTTTTGTGACATATAACTCATATTTTATTAGTTAGTTGAGCTCTGATTTTGTGGGGGGCTTTTATATGTGGACCAAGGGATTAGTGATTGAAAGACACGGGATATATCTTTAGTTTCTTCGTCATAAACATCTAATACATTCAGTAATTCAGTGACCCACAGTTCTTAATTAATAAAGTAACTCATGATGGAATGGGCTCTTTTGACACCTTAGATCCAGTTAGATCTTACAACACAAACTTATCAGATGCTGTTGTTTTGTTCTTTTTGCAAGACCATGAATACTATTCTTGCAGATGATAATGTATCAATTTCTTAGTTCATGTTTTGTTCTTCTTGCAAGACCATGAATATTATTCTTTTTCTTGGGTGGTTAAAATCTTTGATACAAACATCAGGTGTAAATGTCAAGAAGAATGTTATTGTAGCCATTACATCTGACAAGGGTCTCTGTGGTGGTATCAATTCTACATCTGTTAAAGTCAGCAAAGCACTCCAGAAAATGACTTCTGGTAATTTGGTTCATGGTTATATTTTGTTATTATATGGCTATGGCTTATAACTCTAGTAATCAGGTCCAGAGAAAGAAAGCAAGTATGTCATATTAGGAGAAAAGGGGAAAGTTCAACTCATCCGTGACTCCAGGAAGCATATTGAAATGACAGTATCTGAGTTGCAGAAAAACCCTATTAATTACACACAGGTAACTGTTTTCCGGGCTTTTAATTTCTATACATTTGCTAATTGCAGTTAATTATGTGAACATGTATTTTAGTTGGAGAATTTGTTTTAGACCTTGTACCTTCTAAAACATTAGTACAACAGAGCATGCCTCTATCCAAGTATTTTCTTTTCTGCAGTTTCATGTAGATGTAGGCTTTCTGAGTTGGCTTATTTGTTTTGCAAGTATTGTTGATTCTAACTGCATGGACAGCTCCCACATAAGCATTGTTGGTTTAGTCACACACATAAGCATTGTTTGTTTGCAGTGTTACTCTTCATTCCTATTTTGGTTTGAAAAAAATCTTAGGTAATCGCAATGCAGCTGACTGATTCTACTTAACATAATTTGATCCACTTCTGTTCACTGAGCATGCATTAGCATTTCAAGTAGTTTACATTAGCTGACTTTCGTTTAAAGTGTTCTTTCATATTTACCAGTTTCTTATTCTTAGAATAGAAGGCACATGTGTTTTCCAGGTTTTATCTATGACCAACATGTAGTTCAACAGATATTTGATACTGTTAGAAACTTCACTTACAATGAAGCATCACTTACGTATCACATAATTTACAGTGTATTATAATGTTTGACTAACTGTTAGTTAAAGATAAAATAATGAAAGTATCTCTGCCTTGTATCATTGGACGGAGGGAGTATCTAATTCTGGGATCAATGGAAGGTTTATGTGTATATTTTCCCTCTTTGTGTGAATGTACTGGTTCTAAAATGATTTTTTTCCCAGGTTGCTGTGCTGGCAGATGATATCTTGAAAAATGTTGAATATGATGCTATAAGAGTTGTTTTTAACAAGTTTCAGTCTGTCATTTCATTTAGGCCTACACTGGCCACAATACTGTCCCCAGAGGTGGGTGCTCGTTCTTGAGGCATATATGAATTTGTGCTTCCATGACTCGTGCTCGCTTAAATTTGTTACCGACTAAGGTAATGTTGGCTTCAATTCTCCTCTTTTTGGTAGGTTATGGAGAAAGAATCAGAATCTGGCGGGAAGGTTGGTCAGCTGGATTCGTATGAAATTGAAGGAGGTGAAACAAAATCAGAAATCCTGCAGAATCTTACCGAGTTCCAGTTTTCTTGCGTAAGTCGTGCGTCATTGCTTTGACCCTTTTGTAGTTTCATCAATATTTGGGGATGATTTCTGTGGCATTGCTCTATCCAAATCAAGTTCCAAGTTATTAGCATGTTAGTGTAAGCATTTCTTGGATAGCACAAAAAATATTTTTGTTGAAATTTTGTTGCCACGACATTGTTGATAATGATGTTTGGAATTTGTACTCTTGGCAGGTTATGTATAATGCTGTTCTAGAGAATGCGTGCAGTGAGCTTGGTGCCCGTATGTCTGCTATGGACAGCTCCAGCAGAAATGCCGGTGAAATGCTTGACCGTCTTACACTGACATACAACAGGTTACCCTTCTAGCTTTCAGTAGCTTTCAGATTTTCAATGCATGAATACATTAATCTAAGTAAAAGTATCACTTAACACATCAGCATCAGACAACATATATGTAAAAGGTGGGCGAGGATTCACCCTGTTTTATCTCTGCAGGACACGTCAAGCATCTATCACTACTGAGCTCACTGAGATCATATCGGGTGCCTCTGCTCTTGAGGGATGATGATGAAACTTTATGCCATCATCTTTTTTATTTTTCTGTTCCAATGAAGGCCACTTCTAATCTAAAAACAGCCTTTTGCATTCTCCTGTGAGTGGATCTGAGCATCAATAATTAGCCTGAATACAGGACGGATATGCCTTGTCGCGCTATCAACCTTGCTTCGTTTTGTTCAAAGTTCAGCAGATGTCCATTTATAATTTGAGGCAGCCTTTCGTTTTTTCCGTGAGCGGATCTTTGTTCTAAGTTGCAATAATTAGCCTGACTAAAGGAGGTGCTTTAAGAATATGACTTGTCTTGTTTTGTCCAAAGTGGCATCATGAGACCGCTTGTACTCTGAAATGAAGCAATAACACCCGAGCACTTTTGATCCACAAAGTAGCAAAATGGGTAACAGTTGTAAAAAGCTTGGAGCACTTTTGTCTGATCCACAAAGTAGCAGGCAACGTGGGACAAAGAACCTCACCAGCCAATCAAAATTGGCGGCTGTCGTGCCCATTGCTCTCACTTTTAGTGAAATTTCACTAATTTTGGTACATACCTGCCTTTCGGTCAATATTTCAGCAATTTCAATAGTGTGCAGAATTTCAAATCATTTTTAAAGTTATCCTTGGATTTTTAAAATGTTTGGTTTGATCTCAATCAAATTCAAGTGAAAATTTTGGTCCTTTGGTCGAAATGATAACAGAAATCACTGAATTTCATTGAAATTTAGTGATTATCGACAATGGCTAAAATATTTCTGAAACAGAAAACCTGCCTTGCCATGTTGGCCAACGATCAATGATGTACATTTTCAGAACCTGCCTTGAACTTATTTGGAATTGTGAACACGCATTATTGACAATCAGCGGATTTGCAAACTGCTGCCTATGACCAATGTGTAGCATCTCCTCGTACTTCATCACTCTGCCAAAGCCACGACCGGTTTTGGAACAACGAAGGCATGACAAGGAAGCAAACTGCGACCTATGACCAATGCACCATCTCCTTGTGCATAGCCATCTTGCCTCAGCCAGTATTTTTCCCTTTGGCTATTTTTGCCGACATGTTTTCCTTGTCTTGCATCCAGGCCTTTAAAGCCTTTGTTTCCAAGCCCGCAAAACAGGCACATGTTCAGGTCACGCAACCCCAGGGAGGCCGTGAAAGAGGTTGTTGGAGAAAGTCGCTTCGCCACCCTCGGTGAGAGAGGTGAGGCCCCGAGGGGCGTCTTGGACAAGGTCGAGCCCCAGAGAACGACTATGCGGAAACTACTGACACAACCCGTTGGGACGTTGGAGCCTCGACACAAGCCCACAACGAGCTCATCGATGGAAGCCCGAAGAGGTGCGGCAGGAGCGCGGAAGGACGCCATGGTAGGTCTGTTGGTGCCTCTAGTGGAATTGATGGAGGCCCGAAATGTTGGCGGATGATTGTGTTTGTTCTGTGTATACACGTACATCTATTAGGTGTAGCTGTCCCCGCTTGTCTCCCAAGTATGTATTTTGTAAGTAGGGTATTCGCTCTGGATGGAACTACTCCTATACATATTATATATGGGGACCCATGAGGTGAACACAATTGTCTTGCACCAAATAATCTCTTCACACGGTATTAACCGTTTTTCGATCCTTGCCGCGCCGCTCCTCCATCCTCAGCGGCCGCCGCCCCCCTTGGCTGCCGCCATCGCCGCTAACTGCCGCCACCACCGTTCTCCTCCCGAGCCGCCGCCGCACCTCCTACCTTCCTTGGCCACCGCCGCTGCTTATCTCGAGCCGCCGCCGCTGCTTATCTCGAGCCGCCGCCGCCTCCTGCTGCCGCCGTTGCTCCATCTACCTACCCCACCACCATTATTGCCTACTCCCACTCCTCCTCCCAGCCGCCAATGCCCATCCCCTGCCGAGCCGCCACCGCCTTCTTCCTCTTCTCCAAAACCCTAACCCTAGCCGCACCTCTCTGTCGCCATGACCTTCTTCGGGTCTTCAGCCCGCTCCTCTGGTCACTCCAATCCCTTTTGTCGGCCCTGATCCAGGGACCATCCGTGACGCCCCCATCGCCGACCACGTCCCCATCAAGCTTTCCCACATCGCGACCAATTTTTACTCGTGAAAGACCTACTTCAATCTTCTCTTTCGCGAGTATGATCTTAGCGATCATGTTGATGGCTCTGTGAACTTCTTCACCGCCCAATATGACTCCGAGTGGCTAGCGATCGACGCCACCATCATTCGATGGTTCTTCCTCATCAACTCCGACGATATCTTCTACACCGTCGTGAATGATGGTGACTCCGCCGCCGCTGTCTGGAGCAAGATCACCGGTCTCTTCACCAACAATCGGCTACAATGTCTTCCTCCAGCAGGAGTGTTTTGGGTTACACCAAAACGACTCTTCCATTGACGAGCACTGCATGCGTCTCAAGGCGATCTTCGATCAGTTGCGTGACCTCGAGTTCAAGGTATCCGATGAACTCATGCTCTACATTGATGACCGTCCTTAATGAGGACATCGGCAACGCCGCCTCCAGCCTCACGCTCCTCATTGTGCCGACATTCAAGAAGGTCGCCGCCGCCCCGGGTTTTGGCGCCTACCCCACGCCACTGGGCATGCCTCCTCCCTACTCATCGCCCTCCACACCGTCCCTACACCAACCTAGTATGGCGACGGTGGTGACAGGTTCATGGACATTGGAGCCGTCCCGGGTTTTGGCGCCTACCCCGTGCCATCGGGCATACCTCCTTCCTACTCATCGCCGTCCACATCACCCCTACACCAACTTAGTATGGCGGCGGTGGTGACAGGTTCATGGACACTGGAGCCACTGCTCACATGGCGGCTAACCCCGGTATCTGAAGGAAATATGCCCTAAAGGCAATAATAAAGTTATTATTTATTTCCTTATTTCATGATAAATGTTTATTATTCATGCTAGAATTGTATTAACCGGAAACATAATACATGTGTGAATACATAGACAAACATAGTGTCACTAGTATGCATCTACTTGACTAGCTCGTTGAATCAATGATGGTTATGTTTCCTAACCATAGACATGAGTTGTCATTTGATTAACGGGATCACATCATTAGAGAATGATGTGATTGACTTGACCCATCCGTTAGCTTAGCACGATGATCGTTTAGTTTGTTGCTATTGCTTTCTTCATGACTTATACATGTTCCTATGACTATGAGATTATGCAACTCCTGTTTACTGGAGGAACACTTTGTGTGCTACCAAACATCACAACGTAACTAGGTGATTATAAAGGTGCTCTACAGGTGTCTCCGAAGGTACTTGTTGAGTTGGCGTATTTCGAGATTAGGATTTGTCACTCTGATTGTCGGAGAGGTATCTCTGGGCCCACTCGGGAATGCACATCACTATAAGCCTTGCAAGCATTGTAACTAATGAGTTAGTTGCGAGATGATGTATTATGGAACGAGTAAAGAGACTTGCCGGTAACGAGATTGAACTAGGTATTAAGATACCGACGATCGAATCTCGGGCAAGTAACATACTGATGACAAAGAGAACAACGTATGTTGTTATGCGGTTTGTAAAGATCTTCGTAGAATATGTGGGAGCCAATATGAGCATCCAGGTTCCACTATTGGTTATTGACCGGAGACGTATGTCGGTCATGTCTACATAGTTCTCGAACCCGTAGGGTCCGCACGCTTAAAGTTTGATGACGGTTATATTATGAGTTTATGTGATTTGATGTACCGAAGGTAGTTCGGAGTCCCAGATGAGATCGGGGACATGACGAGGAGTCTCGAAATGGTTGAGACATAAAGATTGATATATTGGACGACTATATTCGGATATCGGAAAGGTTCCGAGTGATTCGGATATTTTCGGAGTACCGGGGAGTTACGGGAATTCACCGGGAGAAGTATCGGGCTTTATTGGGCCATACAGGAATAGAGGAGAGAGGCCAAAAGGAAGGAGGCACGCGCCCCCCCTCTGGTACGAATTGGACAAGGGGTGCAGCCCCCTTTTCCTTCTCCCTCTCCCCCTCTTTCCTTCTCTCCTACTCCGGAAAGGAAAGGGGAATCCTACTAGGACTTGGGAGTCCTAGTAGGACTCCCCACACTTGGCGCGCCTCCTCTAGGGCCGGCCTCTCCCTCCCTCCTTTATATACGGGGACAGGGGGCACCTCTAGACACAAGAATTGATCTCTTGGATCTTTTAGCCGTGTGCGGTGCCCCTCTCCACCATAGTCCACCTTGATAATATCGTAGCGGTGCTTAGGCGAAGCCCTGCGACAGTAGAACATCAACATCGTCACCACGCTGTCGTGCCGACAGAACTCTTCCTCAAAGCTCGGCTGGATCAGAGTTCGAGGGACGTCATCGAGTTGAACGTGTGTAGAACTCGGAGGTGCCGTGCGTTCGGTACTTGATCGGTCAGATCGTGAAGACGCATGACTACATCAACCGTGTTGTGCTAACACTTCCGCTTTCGGTCTACGAGGGTACGTGGACACACTCTCCCCTTTCGTTGCTATGCATCACCATGATCTTGCGTGTGCGTAGGAAAATTTTGAAATTACTACGTTCCCCAATAGTGGTATCAGAACCAGGTTTTATGCGTAGATATTATATGCATGAGTAGAACACAAGTGAGTTGTGGGCGATACAAGTCATACTGCTTACCAGCATGTCATACTTTGGTTCGGCGGTATTTTTGGATGAAGCGGCCTGGACCGACATTACGCGTACGCTTACGCGAGACTGGTTCTACCGCCGTGCTTTGCACACACGTGACTGGCGGGTGTTAGTTTCTCCAACTTTAGTTGAACCGAGTGTGGCTACGCCCGGTCCTTGGGAAGGTTAAAAGAGCACTAACTTGACGAACTATCATTGTGGTTTTGATGCGTAGGTAAGAACGGTTCTTGCTCAGCCCATAGCAGCCACGTAAAACTTGCAATAACAAAGTAGAGGACGTCTAACTTGTTTTTGCAGGGCATGTTGTGATGTGATATGGTTAAGACATGATGCTATATTTTATTGTATGAG